TCGATCTGTCATTGTCGATCGTGAATTTGGTTGACACTTCTATTATAGAGAAAGGGCAAATAGTGATATTAAAATATGTCTTCTAATTAATTTCCTTTCAATGTGCATGAATTCATGCACTGGGCCACTAGTGTTACTATAAAAATGATGAGCAAGCCCTAGCCAGTTTGGCTCAGTGGATAGAGTTTCAGCCTGAGGACTGAAGGGTCCAGGAATCTATTCCAGTCAAGGATACATAAATTGGTTTCAGGTTCTGCAGCCCTGGCTGGGGTGCATGCAGGAGGCAACCAATCGATGTGTCTATCTCATGTCTATGTTTCTCTCTGTCTCTCTCTTCCTTCCACTCTCCCTAAAAATCAATGGAAAAATATCCTTGGGTGAGGATTAACAAAACAAAACAAAAAAAGATGAGCAAAAGGTTGTTTTACACTCAATGGATATGCTGAAATTACTTCTTATTGTAGAAACTAAAGAATCAAAGTAATTTGAACAGGAAAGGGTTAAATTAAGATCTCCATAAGCAGAATGGGGGAAGGTGGTTGTCAGGACAGATTAAAATATTCCTCCCCAGTGTTCTGGGGAATGCCGAAAGTAGAAGCTGATTATTAAGAGCCTGAATTTGACTTCCATTTGAGTTTGCAGTTTAGAGCCTAATACAGTGTCTTTATACACAGGTTTGGCAGATCTAGTGGGTGAATGTCATCTATTAAAAGTCAGGCAGACAAGATAATTTCCTGCTCGTCAGAGAGGGTTCAAACTACATGATCATTAAATATTTCCATGACTTTCTATAGTACTCATACTAAAATTATAACAGACTGCCTTTCAATTAAAAAGCCAAGGTAATTTAGCAGAACAAACACAATGCTGATGTAGAGTTCTTTCAAAGAAGCTACAATAAAAAAATTTGCAGGCTCATAATTTAAATTATAAAAACACAAAGTCCTGTGTAGCACAAAATACAGTTACAATGGATGTGTTTCAAGAACATTAATTGGATCATAACCCTGAATGTCTGGTCCCCCAACCCTGCTCCCAATGACAAACCGAATTACTAAACTTTAGGGAAATAAAACTATGTATAAATACATTTTTTAACCAAAATATTCAAATCTTAGATGAGTAGCGGTTATAAAACAAAACAAAAAATCACAAAATTTCAGATAAGAAGTATTCCTATTCAACATCTAATGAGATTCTCAAGATATCAATAACAAGAACAATTTCAAATCTTGGGTTTACATAATTTTGGAAACATTTTTAAAGATATTTTCAAATATATCCTATTTTATCATCCTATCAACTCTTTGAGGCAGGTAAGGTGTTTTACAGATGAACTGACCAAAGTTCTGAAGGTCAAAAGGACCTATTTAGAAACAATGTGAGTTAGCAGTGGTAAAAGTAATGTAATGAAGGCCTACAGAATCTAGCATGTTTTCCATCAAGCAATTGTGTCAGGTTGGAAAAAAATAAACAAGGCTTGGTATTTCTTTTACTCAGTGATATTGACACAGCAGGCATGCTTCTCAAATCTGTATTCAGCACAAAGCTGGAAGTGACTACACATAAGACAGATGACAGAAATCAAAAATAGAGCACCAAAAGGTTACAAAGAAAGAGATGAACTTTAATCATGATAAATGCAAAATGAGTCCAAAAATTATTGCTTAGGCATATAATGGGAAAAACTTGAGCTTAAGTCGTTCTTCAAAGTCATTTATCAGGAGCCTATAATATGTAAGCCACTCTACTAGAACAATTAATAGGACATACTCTGTCCTCAAATCACTCCAAATCTAAAGAAATATGATAGACGCCTGTTGGCTCAGCAGCCATTTACACGCACAAGAAGAGTTCAGGAGATAATTATTCTTCATTCTCTTTAAAAAAAAGCAATGTCTAATCATGAGAAATAAGAGCCTCCTAATATTAAGTGCTGAGTGCAGCAGGAAAGGTGTGCTAAACTCTAGCAGTGCATTTTGAGAAGGACAATGACAAGCAATGGTAGGTTTAGAAGAGAGTGGTCAGTGGTGTGGAATTGAAGTCCAGTGAGCAAGAGTTGTAAGAACTGGGGGATGGTTAGATTAGAAGGCTAAGGACAGACATGATAAATGTCTTCAAATGTTTTGAGGGCCATCAATGGAAGAGGGAGGGAGCTGGCTTGCTCTGTGGAAGCCGTGTTGCTCCATGTCAGTTATCTCAATAAGAGAAAGAATTTCCCAGGACTCAGAGCTGACTAACAACAGTACTGGTAATGTGCTTTCTCTTTGGTGAGGTATTTAAATTGCAGTGTGATGAAGATCTATCTGGATGGTAATGAAAGAGATACACTAATACGTTTATGGGATGGTAAGTTATATCAGATGATGACCAGGATTCATTTAAGTAGATCAATAACAAAATTAAAAGATGTAGGCAAGAGAGCTTAACTAGAATATTAAAAACAAAATCTTATAGGTGCTTCTAGATAGACAAGAATAATAGAGAATTTGTTTGTGGTTTTATTAAAAAATATTGTAAATAAGAAATAAGGATTACAAAATAACGATCATATTTATTATGAATTATTAACAATTAGAATCAAGAAATTTCCCTAAAGACTAGATTTGTAACATTAGTATTCTTTATTTGATAAACTTTTATTCTTGTGCATATTGATTGATTTTTATTTTATGATAAAGTTAGGAAATAACTGGGAATTATTATATTAGACCTTTACTAAAAATATTTCTACAATCTAAACTTGGTATTGCAAATCCTTTTGGAAACAAAGACATACCTATAAAGAGTAAACACCCACATTGTTAGCTACATAGTCTTTCTTCATAGATTTTGAGCATGTGGAACACACAGAGTACATATGTATGCATATACGCACACACCAATACACATTCCTGAATCACTGAGCTGTACCTCTCTTTTCAGCCTCATATTTTCTTCCTAAAAATGACTGCTGTGGTCTTCATAATCTCCCATAATTAAAATATGCAGTGCATGAAACTGTGGCTCCAAAAGAGGACGGGCATATTTTGCTGCAATATTCAGCAGTGGAGATGATTTCCTTTCTTTGCATTATTAGTTTGTGGTGTCCCTTGTTTGGCCTCTTTGTTGACACAGGCTAGTCCTCCAAAGGTTCATGGTTATGTTTAGAGTCTCTAAGGGCTAGAAGTGATTATCTGGAAGGAACGAGGCACAACTAATAATCCACTGTAACAATGGTCCCAGAATAGAGACTAGTGTGAAATCAGATATCGTATATAAAGGTTTAATCAGTAACTTTCAAGCTTCCAAAGAATTATTGAAAAAGGCGATGTACTATTAAATCACGAAACACTGATTACCTGCTCAAGCCCTCTACCTTCAAGAAATACAGATCCAGCCTGGAAAATTATTTATTCTTGATATTCTCATGTATAAACAAACAGTATATGGTCTTCCATAATAGGCCTTTTGAGCATTTCATGACTACATTTAAGATTTTTCACAAATTCATTTTCTTCTTTTATTTATTTATTTATTTATTTAATATATTCTGTTGATTTTTTTACAGAAAGGAAGGGAGAGAGATAGAGAGCTAGAAACGCTGATGAGAGAGAAACATCGACCAGCTGCCTCTTGCACATCCCCTACTGGGGATGTGCCCGCAACCAATGTACATGCCCTTGACCGGAATCAAACCTGGGACCTTTCAGTCCGCAGACCGACGCTCTACCACTGAGCCAAACCGGTTTCCGCTCATTTTCTTCTTTTAATCTATGTTCTATTTTTTCACTCTTAATCAGTAATGAACATGAGTAAAATCATTTTTAGTTCATAAAAATTGAAAATAATTAAGTCATTTCTAGTCTTCTTAATATCCCTAATTGATCCCTTAATACTACTAATTTCCTTAATAATATGCATTTCTTTCAGCATGTTCATCATTCTTTTCTGAATTTTCTTTTTTTTAAAATAGTTCTGTTTTCTAATATGTTTTTATTGATTTTAAAGAAAGAGGAAAGGAGAGAGAAAAACATCAATGTAAGAGAGAAACATCGATTGGTTGCCTCCCATACGAACCCCAATTGGGGATCAAACCAGCAACTTGGACATGTGCCCTGATCGGGAATCGAACTGGCAACCCTTCAGTGTATAGAATGACACTCAGCCAAATGAGACTCAATGGCTAGGGTCTGAATTTTCTTATTTACCACTCTTTTTGGCAATTATGTTTTTACTTCTTTAAATGCTAATTAAGATGGGACATAATTATCTTAATAAATGCAAAATACATGGAAATATAAAGAGAATAAAGCTCTCCTCTATTTATGTCACATGCCTTCAGTACAACCAAATATGTTTTTTCCCCTCAAATATTACTTGAAGTCAGCTTGTTGTCAGGTATCACTCTCAAGGGGCTCATGTCTAGCTAATTATCTCCCGTATTCCCTCTCACTATCTGTTTCTGACGTCACCATCATGGCATTCTAGTAACTTGAATTAGAGGAAAAATGTCTCCCAAGGCAACTTCTGTTAAACACCCAAATTATATTGTTTCAGCAAACTCAACACCAAAGTGCTAACATTTTTCAAAATGCCATTTTCAAAGTATTCATCTGTTCTGTGAAAAATGACTGAGTTGTGGCTAACAGGGCTAGACATCAAGTTCTCAGATAAGGTGAACAATGAATTTTCATAATTTTGTTCATGGCATAGCTTCAAGGTTTTGAAACTTGCATTATCTAGTCATTAGTTTATTTATTTTCCCTATTGTAGATGCTTCAATTAATGAAGATATAATGCAATTTTAAATATTAAGTTTCCTTAAGGAAATAAAAGCATATTGCTGATAGCCTACAAGAAGATATGCCTTCACACAACTGAAATGATCCAGTTTTCTTTGTATGGCACAATAATGTCAAGATCAGTGGATTACAAAAAGATTGCATTAGAAGGTTTTAGTAGTAGTAGCACTTACAATACATGGGTTGAACAAAATTAACTAGCTTTTAATTTGTTAGGTCAACTATTATTAATGCATATATTATCAAGTGCTTTTCATGTAAATTCTTCTGATATAGAAAAAGCAGTAACAGAAATACTAAGTTTGCTAGAAATGGGGAATAGGGCTAGATATTTTCCTGATTAAAAAAAGTATGACTGTGGTAAAAAAGAAAAAAAGAAAAAATAGCTCCAAGGTCTAACTTTGTCTATAATTAGGTTTTATAGTAAGTTCCTTTTCGTGAAACCTCTTTTACTTAAGAGGAATTAGATCAGATTTTTACAAAGGCGGTAAGAATATCTGTGACAGATTTATTTAAATGCTCCACTGTTCCATTAAAATGTGCCCCTTTGCCTTCCTACAGCTAGTGCTAAATAACAGAGTAGGCATGATTGCTGACTACTACCTGCAATAAGTCATATCTACTGAGATACAAAATGGAGATAATATATACATTGCATTCATTCATTCACTCATTCATTCCTCAGGGCTTATGGTAGGTTCTCTGGTAGGAGATGACGTCAGAATTTAATAAGGCACAAGTTCATACTCCACATTTTTAGAAGAGTTAAAACATACACTCAAGTAACTATTAAGTGGTATCAGGAAAGTGAAAAAAATCTAACCTAATAATAGAGTAATATGCAAATTAACCATCACTCCACTACATGACCCATGCCCACCAGCCAATCGGAGTGAGTATGAAAATTAATCCAACAAAGATGGTGATTAATTTGTATACACAGAGTGAGGGAAGAGTGAAGACTGAAGACAGCATAGAAGGAAGAGGGAGGAAAAGTGGAAGCAAGGCGGCTGCAGCTGCTGGAGGGAAAGCACTGGCAGCGCATGCGGGGTGGGGCGAGGTGTGCAGCAGTGGTGTGTGTGACCCTGGAGGAGGCTGCTGCTGTGGGAGGCAGCGGTGTGCCTGTGGCCCCAGAGGCGGCAGCGGACACTAAGGTGGAAGTGGCTGTGGGCATGGTGGGGCAGGTGGGGCTGGGCGGGCGGGGCATGCCCAGAGCACATCCACCTGCCCCACCCTGCCAGCCGCAGAGGGAGAGGTGGGGGTGGTGGGAGGGAACTCATCAGGCAGAGGCTTTAAGCTTGGGAAGGGGCAGAGCCTGTGATTGGAGGGGCAGGGGTCCCCTTCTCAAGCCTAAAGTCTGGGGTGGAGGCCTTAGGCTTGGGAAGGGGCTGAGCTTGGGAATGGAGGGAAGGGGAAAATATCAATGGAAACATATCCTCAGGTGAAGATATAAAGAAAAAGAAAGAAAGAAAGAAATGTCATATCCGCCCTAACTGGTTTGGCTCATTGGGTTGAGGCCTGCAGACTCAAGGGTTCCAGGTTCGATTCCAGTCAAGGGCATGTACCTTAGTTGTGGGCACATACCCAGTAGGGGTGTGCAGGAGAAAGTTTATCAATGTTTCTCTCTCATTGGTGTTTCTAACTCTCTATCCCTCTCCCTTCCTCTATAAAAAAATCAATAAAATATATTTTTAAAAAAGAAAAAGAAATGTATATCTTATGAAAGACACATCTTGAAAATGCTTAAAGAAAGTTGTCATTTTTTCATGGTGAAAGGGACTGGAGTCCATGATGATGAAAATACCTTGGCAGCTGTGGTGACTGGCAGTGGCTGCAGCAGTGGGGTGATGGGACTGGCGCCTTCCCCTGATCAGCCCTGTCGCCTCAAGCAAAGGGAGGCCAGACTGTTAGGTCTGTTCCCAAGGGAGCAGGCTTAAGCCACCCCTGAGGGTTCCCAGTATGTGAGAGGGAGCAGGCTGGGCTGAGGGACCTCTCCCCAGTGCATGAATTTTGAAAAAAATATACTATACTATAATTAAGAGAAGGAATGTGAACAAATCTAGTCTTTAACCCAGTGTATGTATAAAATATAAATATAAAAAATATTGAAACTGCATCTTTCAGGAGAATCTAAGTGACATTCAAAAACTGACTTGCAGTTGAAAACAACAGTAGAATTTATAAATTCAGTAGTTGTTAAGATGGCCACGTCAAACTCAACCTTTCAATTATGTTCTTGATCTAATTTAGAATTCTGTTTTCCTTTCTGTCCAACATAATTATTTTCAGGGTCAAATTGGGAAAACAGTCATGACCAGATTCAGTTACATCAATTTTCTTTTAAGATTAAAAAAGATGTATTGTTTTCAAATATATACTTTTTTCCCCCCTGATTATAAAAGTATGTTCATTATACAAATCCCAGACCCCCAAAAAAGGAGGTAAAAAGTTAAATTCATTCCTAGTGCCTCCATCCAGAGATAAAACTGTTAATTTATGTTAATTAGAAAATACATATAATTTAATGAATGTACTATCTTATAATGAATATTTTACACTTAATTCAAGGGAAAGAAATCTGTTCGTTGGGTACTCATGACCATGTTCTTGTAAAATCTAACAGATGCATACTTGACATACAATATCACACAAAAATCTGAGCATAATGCCATGAATAAGAAAAGTTATAAACCAAAACTGTGCCACCAGAATGTTGTACAACTGCTAAACTATGAAATGATACCAGAATAAAATAAAATTATGGCCCAGAATACTTTCCCAAATTGCTCAAAACCCTAAAGTAGGAATTTTAATGTATAAAAAGTACATATCCAAATACCGCTTTACAGGCAAAGCGAAAGACATTACAGAGGGTTCCCAGGGTGGTATAGAGCAGAGGTTTCAAACCTGCCCTCTCAGCAGCCTTTCTGTCTCAGTAAATTTTTCATGGCACTCTAAAGCCAAAAGAAACAGCTAACAGTTGTATTAATTACACAGTTAGAGCCAAACAATTTAAAGAATATATATGTTCTAATAATTTAGTAGCTATTTTAAAAAATAATACCCAAATATTGAAATAAATATGTCTTTATTTCATTCTTAAATAACCACAGTTACCTACTAATGGGACGTGTGCATCTGATGGGCAGTGCACAACTTCTCAAATCTTAGAATCAGACTGATACCACCACTCTCATTTCCTGTTCCACACTGATTTTTGGCGGTATTTGCTTTTTAGTACAGCAACCGTAGAAAACCTAACTTTGCCAAGACATCATCAAAACTAACGTAGCAGGATCCATACTGAAAGTGGAAACTGCCTGGAACTAGAGGCTCGCACAGTGTCTGGCAGATGTGGCATATCCGTTTCCTTTGGAAATTTAAAATAGCCCGTGTTGCCCTGTGAGCTTGCTGTGGCACCTCAGGGCAGCTTGCTTGGCACAGTTTGGTAATCATGGCTATAGGATAGCTGTATCCTGGTGCCCTATTATTACCATGACAGTGGTAGGAACTCCCAAATCAATGAGTGCCTTGGAAAGATTTGCCCCACCCCCCCTTACATGACAAGTCTTGGTCCTTTTATTATGGACAGTATAAGTCCAAGTAGGGATGCACGGTATTCCTCAATTATCGGTAGACAAGGAGCCCTCCTCTCACGGAGTCCCAGGGAACATGCATGCCACTGGGTGATAGGTGGCTACAGAGCCACTTTCAGACTATTCACTCCTACCCATAGAAGTGCTTGGTATAACACATAACCCTACAATCCTACAATCTACCTTTAAAACAAATAACCCTACAATTAAACACATAATCCAACAGGTGGCAGAACATTAATTGCAAATGAAGTAAAAAATATAGTAGTCCCCCCCTTATCTGTGGGTTTGCCTTCTGCAGTTTCAGTTACCCGAGGTCAACCTTAGTTTGAAAATATTAAATAATTTGTAAGTTTTAAATTGCACACTTTTCTGAGTAGGGTGATGAAATCTCTCATTGTCACCTTCCCGAACTCCATCTGGCTTGGGACAAGAATCATCTCTTTGCCCACACATCCACAATGCATATGATACCTGCCTGGTACTCACTGAGCAGATTCTGTTATCAGATCAACTGTCATGGTGGCTCAGAGATTGTGCTAGTAACCCTTATTTTACCTAATAAGGGTCCAAAAGCACAAAAGATTCTGCAATTAGATTATGCCAAATAGAAGCCATGAAGAGCTTTTTTTAAGTGAAAAGGTACTTATGCACAGGAAAAAAAAAACATAGTATATTTAGAGTTTGGTACTCTCCGGACTTTCAGACATTCACTGAGGTCTTGGAACATATCCCCCATGGATAAGAAGGACTAGTGCATGCATCTTAATCTTTGGTTAAAGTGAAAAGAAAAAAAAAGGGCACAGAATCCCTTGATTTATAATATAATTTGTCACAGTAATTAAAAAAAATGTTTTAATTAATTTCAGAGAGGAAGGGAAAGGGAGAGATCAAAACATCAATGAAGAGGGAAAATCACTGATCAGCTGCCTCCTGCACACGCCCACTAGGGATGGAGCCCGCAACCTGGGCATGTGCCCTTACTGGGAATCAAACTGTGACATTTGCCTGAAGGTGATAGGTTGAAGCTCAACTACAGAGCCACACTGACTGGGCTGTGATAGTAATTTTATAAAGATCCTATGGTAAGGAGAACAATGTCCCCCCAATCCTAACCCAAAATATATTTATGTCTTAATCCCTGGAATCTATGAACATGTTATCTTTGGAATTAAGGCTACTAATCAGCTGACTTTAAAATTGGGAGACTATCCTGTATTAGCTGGATGGGCTGCATGCAATCACAAGGATCCTTAAAAATGGAAGAGGGAGACAGAAGATGAGAGTTCAGAGGGAGATGTGGCTTTGGATGAGGCACAGATGATACAACGTGAGGAGGATGTAACAGGCTGTTCTGGGCTTTAAAGACGGAGGAAGGGAGCCACAAGCCTAGGAATGTGACAGAAAAGACAAGGAAACGATTCTTCCTGAGTCGGCCCACACTTTCATTTTAGCCTAAGGAGATCCAAGCTGGACTTCCAACGTACAGAAATGTAAGGTAAGTTTGTGCTGGTTTAAGCCACTACCTTGGTGGTAACTTATTCCAGCACCACAGAAAGCTAACACAGACCCCAATGATACTAATAACCCCAATAAAAACAACAACTATAAATGTTTCAGGTCAATTGGATAAGCTAAGTAATCTGCCTCTAATATACTTCCAGTTGATATTTCCAGTAAGTTTTGTTTTGTATTGATGATGTAATTATACTACATATAAAATAAATTATAGTTGCTGGCTCAAAGGATTTTACTGGAGTGTACTACAAACATCATAGCTTTTTGCCTTTGTTCATTTTCTTTACTGTTGTACAATGATGTAATGGCTATAAAGAAGATAAAAATCTTTGTATTATGCACTGATAAGAATGTTAAAAGCATATCAGCTTTTCCATGTTATACAGCTTGGGTTAAAGATAATACTTCTTTTTTATGTAAAATACCAGTGAAAACATTTTAGTTATTTATTGAGCTTTTTTTTAAATGGGATAATGGTTTGATGGCTGGCAAGGGAGACCTTTTTGTATATTAAACAATTACTTACAGAAAGCAAGAAAAAGTCCTACTGTCAAAATATATATACTGCTATGAACTAAAAATATTTATTCGAAGTTTAAAAGTCAGTGTTTACCTGTGGTTAAAGGCAGATGTGTAATGCTGTTCAAACAGGTGAGGGTGAACCATGTGGATGATAGTGTAGCCCCAGAAAACAGGAGGAGGAGAATTAATTTCAGCATACCCCTGATAAAATCTGCAAACCTAAAAACAAACAAACAAACAAACAAATAAAACACAACAGTCTATTAATCCTAGCTGAATTTAAAAAATACTGTTTAAATCTATGATACACTTTTATTTAAGGACTAAGAGCCTAGTGCATGACATTCGTGTACAGGTAGGGTCCCTAGGCCTGGCTGGCAATCAGGGCCGATCACTGCCTTCCTTCCCACGGCTGCTGCTTGCCAGCTGCTGGCCAGGGCTTTCTTTGTTCTATGCTGTCCCCTGGTGGTCAGCATTCATCATAGCAAGCAATTGAACTCACTTGAACTCGAGGGGACACTTTGCATATTAGCCATATATATATATATATATATATATATATATATATATATATATGAATGAAGATAGGCAATTTCTTAAAGAAATTTCCACACATTATTTTAAAAGCAAGTTTTAAATTTTTTTAACTGATACGTTTTTGGTGTGTGTGTGTGTGTGCATGCACACACACTCGCAAGTGTGTGCACATGCGTGTGTGCATAAGTGATAAATCTTACTTAGTGATAAATGATTTTTTTACTCTTACCAAGCACACAAAAGGTGATTTCCGTTCAGGATCTATAACTCACAGGATGGATTCTGAGCTTTTAAATACCACTTTTATTAATACTTTATATTTTTTCTTTAATTGCTAAATATCCTTTAATGAGTACATATTGTTCTAGTTTTAGAAAACAGGCTAACTTGTTGACATAAACTTGTAGAGCTGGCTTTCCCAAAATTCAGACTCAGAGACCAAATTTTAACGCTTACACTAGAGTCTCTGTGGTCCTATGTGACCTGGCCTCTGCCTCCACCCTCCCTTTGCTTTACTATGCTCCAGCTGAACAGCCCTGTTTCTGCTTCTCATACATGCAATGTTGTGTCCCCCAGCAATGACCTGTCCTGTCTGCCTGGAATGCTGTACCCCCATTCTTCACATGACCTACTCCCGCTTCTTCCTCAGGTCATCCAGGTGTCAGTTCAACAAGGCTCCTTTAAAACACCTCCTCTTGCCACCTCTTTATTTTCTTCATAGCATTTATCTCTATTGTAATTCCTCCTGTTTTTGCTTTTGTTTTCTGTCTTTCCTGTCAGACTGTAAGCTTTGTGAGAGCAAGAATGTGGCTCTGGAACAGAGAATACTATTGTTTAAACCTTGTGACTACTGTTTCCTAGCATTTTATGTTCTTAAAATCCCTGCTTTTCCCTCTGAGTTAATGTGAAACAAAAAAGCATCTGGTAAGAGATGCTTGCCATTTAGTTATGACCAGAATCTTTTTCATTTGTTAATTGCTTTTCCTCATCTGCTAACTGTTGATTGTACAGGCACAATCCTCTGGCTGAGCCAACATACAACTTTCTCTGTCCTTCAGAATCGTTTCCATTGTAGAAAAACAGATCCCACACTAAATTTGGCACTTACCATGTTTTCTCTTTGAAGCTTTAAAAATGAATTTAGTTTCTGTTGTAATTATGTGTCCATCCCTATCAACACTTTCAATACTATCTTTTGTATTGCAGTTATTTGGCATGATATTGTTAATCATGTCTGAAAGCGTTATCGAGACTAAAATAACTTCCTCTGAGAGCTGATGCCATCTTTTGGTAGGAAAAATGACTGCACCTTTGTCCAGTGACAGGTTTATTCTCAACTATGAAAGTTCACAGACAGAAAATTTTGATCTTGCAAATTCTAAAAAAGGTTCCATAGTTTGATAAAAATGTCCCTCAAGAAAATCTAGAAATCACATGATTCTTATATATATTTTTGGCCACCTGCCTATCTGACCAGGTATGAGAGAATAGAAGAGCTTTCTGGTACAACCAGAGCTGAGTGAAGTTGAACTGGGGGCAGTTTCACAGGCCGGATGACCCAAGAACAAACTAACCACTGGGATCTGCTTTTTGGAGACCTAGACCTTTCAAATGGGATAATACCATCAAAGTATACTGCTAGGACCAAAGCAGAACATTTAGGAGGGGACTTTGCCAACATAATTATAAAATAATCATCCAAAGAATTCATGTCTATAAGGAGACTGCAATCTAGGGGTCCCAAAAATTAGTGTTATAAATGTAATTTTTAAATTTATTTAAGGTCTAGGAGATACATATAATTGATTTCAGATCCCAGGGTAAGAGTAGTACTTTATAGACCCTCTATTTCAACATATTAAAAACAAACATGTTCTCATTCTAATTTTTCCCTTAATTCTATTTCTATAGAGTTAAAATGAAAGGTTTATGGAAAGAAAAGAAAGAGAAAGGAGAATATGAGATGTCATTTCTGATATATGTATAATGGTTCCCTCTAACTTATTTGGTGCTCAGAATAGAATTGAGTAAATGATGGATAGGAGATTTAATTAGAATAATTAGGTATGATTTTTTTCTTACCTATAATCAATTACTCTAATTGGCTAGGAGATTTAATTAGAATAATTAGGTCTGATTTTTGTCAAATATGATAGGTTAATGCATTTCAGTATCAATGTAATGATTTGCTACAAATTTTAGATTTTATTCTTATATTTTCTTAAATTATAGAAACCTCATAAAGTGATTTATGAATTAGTGTTAAATTATTCTTTCATTGTCCAAGAAACACTTAGCAAACTTTAAGATCTAGATAGCCCTAGCTGATTTGGCTCAGTGAATAGACCGCCAGCCTGTGAACCAAAGGGTCCCAGGTTCAATTCTGGTCAAGGGCATGCATCTTGGTTGCAGGCTCCTCCTCGGCCCGGGGCCCTGGTTAGAGTTCATGAATGGAGCAAGCAATCAATCTGCTTCTCTCATATTGATGTTTTTCTCTGTATTTCCCTCTCTCTTCCACTCTTCCTAATAATTAATGGAAAAACATCCTTGAGTGAGGATTAACAAACAAAACAAAGAAAAGATATATTATCCTGTGTCAATTAATGCTTGAGTGTTTAGATATTGAGGTGATTTACCCATCTTATTCATCTTCCCAAATATGTAATTAAATTCTTCCTTTCCTGGTAAAGTTGATTGCCTAACTTTGTTTCTGACTTAAATAGGGTAAAATTATTTGGGAAGTGAATGAATATCATCTCTTTGAAAAAACCGAGAGTAGTTTTTTTATAGGCTGTCACATACATGAGTGACATTTTCATTCTTTCCTTTTTTTAGAATAAATGAAACTTTTTCCCTCTCCTGACTCATTCTAAAAATGTATTGTCATAATGTGTTAAGATCATAGGCAGTTTAATGAAACTGGAAGTCTTTATGGACATTTTTACTCAAAATGGAATAACCATTGAGATACATGCCAAAAAAACCCAGAAGTAAATATATGCTAATCAGGACAGTGCCTTTTTATGGAAAGTTCTAGACATGCTCTTACAAATGATTGTTTTCAATTCTTGATAACTATCCATTTGCCTCTATTACACTATCACCTTTGGATTCCATTTGTAGATGTTGTTCTCTAATAA